ATTTCATAAGCGGGATGTTTACAATGCAATTTATAGCCTGCTTAAAAGTAACAAAAATGAGAAGTTTGATACTACTTTGATGCTTGACATTCTTTTTGAAAAAGTATCACAAGATCCACATTGAAAAGTTTACATTCGACATGCTGGTAATGAGCACTGTTTATCCGGTATTTTTTGGATGTCTCCTGTTCAACAAGAACTATATCAACGATTTTTAGATGTAGTTTTAAATGACAACACCTGTAAAACAAATAAATACAACATGTATTTAAGTGTTTTTATGGTTAAAGACAATTATGAAAGGTTTCAGAATATCGCAAATGCACTAGTGGAAGATGAAATGTCTTCAACGTATACATGGATTCTTCAATGTTTATTAAAAGCAACGGGTATTACCCCAAAATCATTTTGGACAGATTCTGAGCCTGGTTTGATTAATGCCATTTCGCAAGTCTTTCCTACCACACCACATTTTTATTGCTTATTTCACATTTGGCAAAATGTTATAAAACATCTTAAAGCCAAGTTGGGTTCAAATTTCAACCATTTCGCCAAAGCTTTCTATGCCTGCAGAAATGCGTTATGTGTAGAAATTTTTGAGAAACGCTGGAAGCTAATGATAGAAAATTTTTCGGAGTGCAAAAATTACATGGCCAGATTATATACCAATCGAATCAGTTGGGCTAAGGCTTATTTACTATTACAATTTAATGCCGGCATACAAAACACTCAAAGTGTAAAATCATTTAATAATATTATCAAAAAGTCTTTAAATGATGCCAGCACGCTTTGTGATGTTGAAATAGCAATTGATAAGAGGTAAGAAGAAGAAATACGATATTGTCAATTATCAAATATTAAGACGTAATATATAACGATTAGTTTTCCGCATTTCTCTTCCCAATTTTTTTTAAGTATTGATAAGGTTTTTACAGAATTCTTATCATCACTTATATTATCTTGGCAACGGTTTCAGGTTTCATAATCATTCACATACGAAGGGCAATTGGTATCATATTTATCTGAGGTACGAGGTACAATAATATAACTAACTTGATCGTGTACTATTTATTCAAGAGCTAACCACAGTATTTTATTTTAGGACAAAAATGTTGACACAATAGATAATAATTTTGTAGAAGATGTAGATGACGAACTCCAAGTAACATTAAAAGCTATGTTAGATGGTATAGATATGACAAAAATAGTTGAAACATGGAAAATTTACTGAATCGGAGGCATTTCTTGTAAAAGCAATCTGGTAGCTCTTTTTAATAACGGAATCCACATTTGCACCTGTTTAGAAATAATCATTAAGGGGATAATTTATCGCCATTTTTGGCGTGTGATGCTTTATTCAAATATAGCAAAGTTTCATATTAGTATTATACCCATTAGATGGTATAAAGACGAGATTCTAATAAAATTTGATAATGTTCTTGAAAATTCACCAGTCCTTACAGCAATATCTACTAATAGTGCAATACCATATGAAGTGGATTTTACTCTCAAAAGTTTAAAACATATACAAGGGTCTGACCATAAAGAAAACATACAACAAATTATTCCTCAAAGAAATAGGTTCGGAGTAGCGTTCTCAATTGCGAAAACAGCAATTAATATCGTGTTGGAAACTAAGAGCGATAATGAGTTAGTTCAAATGTTAAAAAGCTTTATTTTATCTAAAACAAATAGTAATGAAGATAGTTTAGAAGAGAATATAGCCGCAGGAAGTAACAATAATAAAAATAATCAAAGTGATAGTGAAATACTTCCCTTACAACAGCGTTTAATAGCCCAAACAACAAACCCTCATGTTACGAAAATTAGAGGAGCTCCTTGTAAAAGAAGGATCAAAGGTGCTATGGAAGGTAAAAAGGTGGGTGAAGTTGATAGTGAAGAAGCAAAAGCATAATGAAAATGTCTTTTATGTAGTGTACCTGGACATTATCAAAAGAGATATCCAAATATCAAGAATGGAACAGAATAACATGTTAGCGTTGAACATATAAGTAATATGATAAATTTTAGAAGGTCGAGATCAAGTAGATTATAATTTTACTACTTTTCACAATAAAAAAGTTGGTTTATATCACATGACAATTAAATGTAATGATTTTTTTTTTAAGAATGACCGTCATGCGAGAATTATGTCCAAGTTGTAATAGTAATGCAACAAAGTTACGCAAACTATTAAATTTAATAGTTTGCGTAACTGCATGCGTTACATCACTAAAAAAAAAATCATTTACTAAGAAAAATTCGCGAGAATTTTTCTTGATTTGATAAATAAATACTAAAAAAATAATAAAGATTGTGTAATATTGATATAAAAAAAAATCAAAGCTAATAAATTTCCATCAGCGCATCCAAATATTTCATATCGATCGTAAAAGAAAGTCTAAAATTTTGGGGATATATATGTTGATCAATTAAGTGACTGTTATGTTAGTCATGTTAGTTATGTCAATTGACTCCATATCAGCCAACAAATTGTTACATGACTTGGTTGGGATGTTCACGTGACGTTACACAAATTTCCAAAAAAGGAATCCGGTGTAACGTATTTTTAGTGTCAATCCGAAATTTCGTAAAAAATAAAATTTCCTTTTTTGGAAATTCGTGTAACGGTGAATTTTACCTCCGGTGAGCAATAACATCGTCCAATAAAAAAATAAATATTGTTTTTTACAAATTTTGATAAATATTTAAAAAAGTAGTTAATTATGCGATATGAACGATCTAAAATCATGAACGATCAAATGCATCCATATACGATTTAGAGGATATTTAGTTGTAGAATTATAAACATATAACCTTTTTCAATGTTATAAAGGATCCATGTATTAAATATTAAAATAGCACAGGAATGTAGTAAAATATACCTTTTGAATCCCATGTATGTACTGTATGTAGTTCACTAGTGATTTCATTCGCGCATTCAAGAATCCGATTTCGTCTCTGGAAAAGTTGACTGGTGGTTTGTTCGTTTTTTACTGAATAATTAAAATAAAATTTAATAAAATGACTTCCAAAATTTATTATAAAGAAATTCATGTTGCTGGCTCGACTCCATTATGGTCCAACGCCAAATACAATAAAATATATGAGTAAATACATTATATAGAATATTGATGTGTTAAAAACTACATTAAAATCAATTGGTTAAATATACAGTAAAATTCTTTGATAAAACAAAAAAAAAAAGAAAAGTGTAAAGAAAAAGAAAGATTAAAAGAAATATATCAAATAGTTAATTATACCTACAAATTAAAACCTTCTTCAACAAGTCCAGTTTTTATAATGGTTATATCATCATCTTAATATAGACCTTGCACCATTCAAGATGTAAGAATTTATCATTATCTCATATGTAAGAATTTCTAGATGCGACGACAATATCTGTCCGACGTGTATTATTATTCTATCATATGCTTAATAACATGACAAAAATCTGGTTGAGACCCGACAACTTTAACAAATTTAATGTATATTTAATATTTTATTAAAACATACATATAGTCTAATAAGACTTTTATAATAAGCAGGTTTTTGTCTAAATCATAAATATTTTATCATACTAATAAAATTGTCTTACATACATTAAGAACAACATGTAGAGAACCAATTGCGCCGCACCATTATTTCGACCGAGTGAGAAGAATTTTTCTAAAAGAAAATAAAATTGAGATAAATTCGTAATGAATGTTTTCAAACAATCTTACGAAGAAAACTTATCTCAAGCATGAAGTATAAATACATCCTGATAGAAATTCTTCTTGAAAACATAATCATCATCATGCTCTTTCTATTTTTAACTAGTACGGAACCGCCATAGAGTTATACATACCTATTGTGCAACTTCTAATTATCAATCAAATCTTTATACGATAGTTGTTACATTGAACATAATTTCTCCCGAAAATCCGCGTGAGAATCGCTTTTGATATTTGTAGTTAGTCTCTCGAAGATCATTTGCCAGTCAAGGTGCACAATTTATATATATACAAGCCGGAAATCCTTAAACAGCTCAACATTCCGCTTTTGTTATATTTCTTTGCATACATTCACTTCGAAATCCTTCCTTTAACACCTTGTATTTTCGCTTTCGCCGTTTAACTTTTTAGATTTCGCATTTGTAATTAATTTCGTTTATTGTAATTTCCGATTTTATTAGCATTTATTATTCAAATTTTATGTAATTATTTGTAATAGCGTAGTTCTAATTAATTGACTAGCATACACTTAGTTTTAATATTTTGACATAGCAAAAATGTATAGCGCCGACGTTGAGGCAACACTGAGCGAATTGATAATATTGAATAAATTTAGCGTCAATGTTACTTCATTTTTATTCAATTAATACCTTCTGCTTACAATACAAATTGTTTATAAATACATAAACGAAAGAACTGAATACAACAATAGTAAACGTAAAGTTTAAACATACCGCATAAATTTTTACGTGTTACAAATCACATGAATCTGCTAACTCGCGCTTTTCAAATAAGGAAATATACTACATATAAGTTATGAGCATGATCATCATGATCAAGAAAATCGCAGTAATTTAATGATTCCTTTAATAATAAAGATTCCCACGATCGAACATCATCCCAAAAATTCAAAAATAAAAACTGCAATTTTACACAAAGAAAATCTTCCAAAAAAAAGTGAAACGAACTTTAATAATTGATCGTAACTCTTGTTTACACTTTAGACAAAAAAAAATACTTTATAACCGCGACCATGATCACGACAACGACAACGATGACAACGATAACGATAACACAATTTACGTAATCTTATTAAAAGGAATTATCCGTGATAACCGCAGGGCCCCCTGATTGTGATTATTGGAACCTCGTCGTGATAATTGATGTGATATCTACTAAGTTTACTAGTATTAAAATGGCCATAGTGTACATGGTTACACTTATGTTACTTAGGAGAATTATTCCCAAAGTGTACGATACGGTTATCTTAATGTGATATCTTCGTAATCAGGGGCCCTACCCATGCTTACACTTAATGCGTTAATTTAGATAATACCCATGTGTAATCAGGTTTCATTCTGTTAAGAATACATGCGTCACTGAATTACTTGGAGTTTCGGGGCTTCTCTAATCAAACAAAAAAATTCTTTTATTTTTAGGTATTAGATTTTTTCGTTATTTATGGTAAATGTTTCATTGGTAGGAGAAATTCATCATATGGTACGGTAACCTATGGTTTCAGAATAATAACATTTCTCATTTCACAATCACACCCTGATATTGATTCGTAAAAATTACGTTACAATTAAATAATACTTTGCAATTTATTAATTTATTATTAATTAAAATATAATAAAATTAGAGGTCCATTAATATACAGTATACGTACTATTATTTATCTACATAAGGAGATTTAAAAAAAAAATCAAGCAGTATCAAAAAAAAAATTGTCTTTTTTAACCTTTTTTACCGTAATGACCATGGACGACAGATTTGCATCCTTCAGTACTTCTTGAAGTATCGCACTTTGTGGTGTCATTGCAGCAACGAATACAGAATATGTTTTCGTCAGGCTCAATAATGTTCACAAAATTCTTGAACCCGGTACAATTTGCATGAAGAGGAGCTCTAATGTCATATTGACCTCCTCCGTCACTTTTCTTCAATTTGTATTTAGTTCTATCAATGGTACCAGTGACTTGGACGAAATCAACTTCTTTCTTGAAAAACGCTTTCTTGATGAATCCGGAAGGGAAAATTTTGGCACCGGTTGCATTGGGACTGGATTCGGTGCAGAAAGGGATAGCATCACGTTCGCTATCACCGATTATTTCACCAGGTTTTTTTGGAAGGAACATGCAGAATACAAATTTGCTCTCAACGGTTATTGACCGAGGTGGATCCCTTTTCACCACAGCAACACCATGGGCTGTTGCAATGACCGCGAAGATGAAAATAATTGTGGATAACTTGACCATTTGTGTAGTGAGTGAGAAGGTGAATGGGTTGAAGTTTTTTGTTTTCTTTATCTCAAAATAGAATTATTATAAATATTCCTAAGGTTGGAATAATTTAGAATTTTTCGACGGTTTATATAAGAAATCCATGGATAAGTAAAATCATTCTTTATAATACTTTTATCACTAATCAATTTAATTAAAGGATCTTTTGTATTCTTTTACCGAAGAACATTTACCCCGATACTTGGCGTTTCGGCTTGTCTAAAAACGTTAAGGTCATCAGATCAGTACATCCGCGGAATTTTCGAACACAAAACCATCAAACATGTGATTTTTTGATGTAAACCACTCTAAAAATAACCGGTAGCGTTAATTGCTCTATTCTAAAAGTTTGAATGATTAATTGGCAAGTATTAAACTGGAGTTACTACTGCCTTTTCAAACATTCGAAAATTCCAGTTTCAAAAAAAAATTAGATCACGAAAAACTGCAATATTTCACCAACAACTTTTTGGTGGCAAGACCTCGATAATGCGTTTTTTATATGAGGCATAGAAGATAAACAAAGCATGCATTTCCACATATCTTATAAAATAATTCCGGATACCGCCCAATGTTGCCACTAATTCTTTGGTGTGCTCTATACGTTGTTTTAAATATGTGCATTGTCAATCCAAAATGACGTTTCGATATGGAATAGAATTTTGATGATTGAAATACAAATTCGATCATTTGCTAATGATAATGATAAAAAAATAATTTTGAATTAACAAATAGAAGCATGAAGATAACAAGGGATCAAGTCCATAAGTTCCTAGTTTTTATCATTTCAGTTTGCATTCAAATGCGGATTAATAGAAAAAGAAAATATTCAATTTTATCATTGGTTATTATTTATAAACTTGTATATTTTTTTTTTTAAATTATTATTCTCCTAACTTTTTTATTTTTATTTATATTCTACAGTGGCGATCAAAATTATTGCATCACTTTCACATTTAAATTTAAAAATAAATTTGTTATGCTAGCTTTCATAATTCAATAATTTTGATCGCCACTGTAGAATTAATAATTATATTATTTATTTTTATATATTGTTACTTTAAGTTATTTTGATTAAATTGTACATTACATCTCTACAAGTGCACACTGTAGCTCGATCCCAGGTTCAGAACTTTGTGCTAAGTATACACAAAAAAAAAGGATCACCCGGCAAAAAAATTTAAATTATGAATATCTTTTATTTTTAATTATTGTACGACAATCAAATTTTTTTATTTATATTATCAAAATTAAAGCAATTCAATATAAAAAAAATTAAAGCATATTTATTAGTTTGATTCGGTTAATCTACAACTTTTCTAAATTTTTCTGACGCATTTCTTTTTACCATTTCAAATATCAATACACATCAAAATATTTATCTAAAAAAAATGTTAACAAATTTTATTGTATAACCACCGCGGACTTTAAACTCTTTCAGGCATAGTATTAATTAACTTGTTACAATAGTTGGTTTCAATGCTATCCCATGCTGATTTTAGGTTTTCTCACAAGGTATCTCTATTATAAGCTGGGTTTGGATTATTACACACGTGTTTATCAACCTTATTCCATAAATCTTCAATTGGATTTAAGTCAGGAGATTGGGCCGGCCAATCTAATAAGGTAATGGAATCATCGCGAAACCATTTTTTAGCCTTTTTGAAGTATGTTTTGGATCATTATCTTGTTGAAAAAATATATGATTCTTATACAAATTATATCGCGAAAGTATTGTTAAAAAACCACCTTCTAATATTTGGCAATAAAGATCAGCATTCATGATTCCTTCAATATTAACCAAATTACCCAACTCCATTAGTTGTAAAGCAGCTCCAGATCATTATTCCACCTCCACCAAATTTAACTGTTGGAATAACATGTTGGTCTTTTAAAGGTTCTGTTGGCTTTTTCCAACAATATTGCTGCCCATCAGTATTAAATATAAGAAATTTACTTTCATCTGACCAAATAACTTTTCGCCAATCTTCAACAGTCCAATTTTTATATTTTTTTAGCCCATTCTAATCGTTTTTTCTATGGGTTTCTTTTAAATAAGGCTTTTTCTTTTTAGTTCTAGCAACTTATCCATTTTTTTCTGAATATTCTACATATAGTTTCAGTTGAAATAAATGTAACGCAAGAGTTTTCGTTCATATCTTTCACTCAAGGATTTTGGGCGATCAGATTTGGGTCGATCATCAAAATTTCCAGTTTCATTAAATATTTTACATATTCGTACAACCGATGATTGATTAACACCTTCTTGATCTGCAACCTCTCTAGTTGAAAGTCCCATTTGATGAAGAGTATAGATACGAGATCATTTTTCTAATCAGTTTATGAATTCTTTCATTATGATAAAGCTTTTTATTAATACTTTTATTTAACAATTATCTTATAATTTAATAAATGTAATTTTACGCAGTCTTTTGTTAAAAATCAGTAGAAAGAAATGCATCACATAAAATATCATTATATTTATTTATTATATTTACATAAATATGTTCTTTTGTTAATTGCATACAAAAGTGAAGTTTGATTAATTAACAATTAAAATGAATCAATTTTTATTGTCGCACAATAACTAAAAATAAAAGATATTTATAATTTAAATTTTTTTGCCAGGTGATGCTTTTTTTTTGTGAACCACGGTAAGTATTTATATATTAATGCTATCAAACATTAATGTCATTTAGTCATTATGCTGCATAAAAGTTATTTTTAACCTATTTCAAATTATTTTTGTGAAAGAAAACAACTTGTTTCTTTTTTATCATCAACTAGTTCACATTTTAATTTAAAAGCAAATTTTTGATTAACTCAACTATGATTTTTTATTTTTTTCAAAGAAGAGACTAATTAGTTTCTGCTTTGTTTAATTATGAAGCAATAAGCTAAGATCATCAAAATTATCTCTAGATAACGATTTTTCAAATGAAAGTTTAATAGATAAAGAAGATAATAATACTATCATAAGTTTAAATGAAGAAAATACTAATTAGAAAATAAATGATATAATTAGATTTAAAAAATAAATTAATTTAATTTCAATATGTAATTTTTTGATTCTTTTTCTTATTTTTTATAAAAATATAAATGTATAATATTATAAAAAGAAAATGATCTTTGATATATACAAATTGCTCATCTTGTAAAACAAAAACAAAAAACTTTTAAAATTCAAGAGTCATATTTTAATAACATAAAGTTTTAATGGGTTTTGCTATCTGTTAAAACTTTAACAATTTTGCCATTAATAAAATATTTAACAAAACATTTTAATAAGTTTCAATTTTAATACCTATTAAAATTTTCTTGTAATTTTAATACTTATTAATCCAAAATGAAGTAAAGAATTATATATACTTAGCTAAATTATATTTTAAAATCTAACCATTTAATAATTAAATTTAAGAATGAATCAGTCTTACATCACAAAGTATATCAAACCATTTATCAAGCATTTACTAATTACTTTAAAAACGTTTATTTTAAATGCTATTAACTATATCTCAATGGACCTTATA